AAAGTAGGTGAAGGGAGATTTCGGACAGTGCAAGACATGATAAAATAATTTATAAATTATCAAGGGTTTGTGAGGGGGAAGTGAGAGAGAGGGGAAAAATGAGGAACTGATACCAAGGGCTCAAGTAGAAAGCAAATGTTTTGAGAATGATGATGGCAACAAATGTACAAAGGTGCTTGACACAATGGATAGAAGTATGGATTGTGGTTAAGAGCTGTAAAAGCCCCCAATCAAATCATTTAAAAACAAAACAAAACAAAACAAAACAAACTCGGTTTATACATGAACATATACTATACTAGAAGAAAATTCAAATCAACACTCTTTAAATTTTTTGAGTAGCAAAGTAGAAATATGAGCATGGCACATTAATATACACCATAGGGCAAAGTACAAACACTCTAACTACAGAGACATTTTATTTGAAAACATTCTAAGTAAACTTAAAAGATAGTTAGGAGAAACTACTGGTTGTTGTTTACTGCTACCAAGTCAGCCCCAACTCATAGCAACCCCATCCACGTACAACAGAGGCAAGTGCGGCTGGTCGGTGCCATCCCACCACCAGTGGCAGTGATCCAGAGGGTTTTCACGGGATGATCTCAAGAGCCTCGGGCCTTTCTTCTTCATCTTAGTCTGGATGCTCCAGTGAAACCTGCTAAATCTCCTAACAACCCACCAGCCTCCACAGAGAGACTGAACCACTATTACCCAAACAGGAAAAAAGAGGTACGGTAAATAAGGGGATCGATAACACTAGTGAGGACCCTTAGAACAAACACTCATTCGAGATCAAAAGGGAAGGATTTATCCATGGACAAAGTTCTGGAAGTCTAGGGGAGGAACAGGAAACAGGAAAGAGAGGAACTGAGATAAGTGATGCTACAATGTGGGGATTTCAGTAAGATGAAACAAAATGTATAAATTGTTGACTAGTAAATTCTGTAAGTCTTCACCCAATGCAGAATTTTTAAAAAGTAATTTATATTAGAAAAATGCAAATGGAAAAAAATTGTTTTTAATGCAAATGGGAAAAAATGGCTTGGAAACTGATAGTCAACATCATAAACTGTTGAAAAATTGCCAATATCAATAAATAATATCCCTATGTCTCAGAGAGATTGATAAATGTTCTCTCACAAAGTGACAATGATGTCTCTAGGGTGGCCCAGAGACATATATAAACCATAAAGGAATAGATTTGGGGCTTGCACTTAATTCTACCACAATCTAAGAAGAATTAGTTCTTATGACATGGCCCTGGCTTGATGTTCACCCTCATGAAGAAATCACAGAGTATATGGGTGCTAAGTATGATGAAGAAAATGATGCCCAGCTATTAGCAGAAATAGTGTCTGGGGTCTTAAAGACTTGTCTTCAAATAAGCAGCTGTCTACGTGAGGTGTCATTAAGTACACATGAAAGAAGTACACCAGCTTGTGTGATCCAAGGATTATAGACAATCAAATCCAAAGGAGGGAATACTATCAGCACTTACATGATGAACACCTGGATTACAGAAGGCTACGGATGACAGTGGAAGCCCAAAATCCATATGCAGGGCCCACACATGGATTAAGCCTCCAGTGAATCTCCTCTGACCACAGGTGAGGGATGTGAATAGCCTTGTTACCAGATAGAGAGCATTGCAAAGTCAATTAGAACAGACCCAGTTAGGTTAAAATGTACTATCGTGGGGGAGGGGAAAAAAGGAAAATGAGCTCATTCCGGGAACCCAAGAGGAAAGCGAATTTTGGGAATAATGAGGGCAACAAATGTATAGATGTGCTTTACACAATTGAT